TTTAATTATTTATATTAAATCTGATAATAAGAATATTTAGTTTTTATTACGATTGAACTACCATATTTAATTAGCAACATGAATGATTCACATGAAAAAAGTATACCATACTTTAAAAAATAAAAAATAAAAAAAGATCTTTCTTGGCATGATTACTGTATAGAGTAGTTAAATATACACTAAAGCTATTCACTACAGAACCAAAATGTGATTAGTGATTAATAAAAAGAGCTTTTGGCATTACAATTAGAATAACAACAAAGAACTAAAAGCACTTTGGGCCACCTTCATTTATAATAAAATAACTGATTGGTGAATGTTCTTTTTTGTCTATTTTAATAGCATTCTGAATGAAAAAACAAAAGCGAATAAGTAATCTTCTGAGAAAAAAGACTGCTTTATTAACCAAAAAAACTAGAAGCCACAAAATGTAATCACTATTGAACCACAAGAAAAAAAGACAGAAGATAAACCTATTGAACTGCAAGAGAAATAGACTGAAGATGAATTAGTAGAATTCAAGAGAGTGGAAAAAGACTTATCAATAAAGTTCTCAGATAGCATAAAGATACTACAAAAAACCTTAGACCAGTATATACTAGAACCTCAAGAACAATATCATAGAGGCAAAAAAAAAACAATAAAGAAAATGCCAAAGGAATCAAAAAACTTAAAACATTTTTTTAATTGAGTTCATTAACGACTTTCCAACTGACTTCTCAAGAACTTTGTATATTAACATCCTCATCATTATACCCCTTGCCAATTATTATACCAAGTTTATCTTTGTGGTTGAGTAAAAATTTACATATCTGTTTGAAAGAACTTAACCAACGATGTTTGATAAGAAAATCAGCGAAAAAAGATAATAAAATCTTTACATATGATCATTTATATTTGTTAAGTATACATTAATTTATATAATTATTATTAGAAGAGCAAAGTAAAATAGATATTGCTGATCAAATTACGTATTTTATATAGAATAAAAGGGGTTATATGACTAAATGTATTCAGATATAGGGAAATCATTTCATAAAAATAGAAGAGCTTTTTCCTTACTACTAAGATAAACACACCAAACTTGAAAGCTTGATTGATAATAAGAATTTTAGTGAAAGTTGTAAAGAATAGTTATAGCAACAAAAATCTAAAATACGTATCTCTAGTAATTTGAAGATATATATTGAGAATACATTATTTCCTTAATTAGTTGATCATATCAAAAAAAACACTATATTAGAGAGGACATGTAGAAATTTTATGTATTCATAGGTTTTAAATATGATGAGAGAAGAAAGGGTATTTACTTTAACAGTTATAAGAAATTAGATATGATAGCATATAAAAATAAATAGGTAAAGAGAATGTTCCTATATAAAAACAATATGAAAAATTTTGTTGGTAAATTATTAGAATTTATATTAGAACCTCAGCTTAATTTTGGGAAAAAAGAATATGTCCAAATAATATATGATAAATATTATTTCTATACTAATGATGGATGGTGACAAATTTGGATTCAGGATAGCAAAAATATTTTGTGCCCAAAATATTTGGGACGCTCTATTATAGTTTTACTTTTTTATATCCATATCATAGACTATTACGATTATTTAACCAACAGATATATGAAAATCCACATGTTGAAGATAAAGAAATATTTGTTATTCATTTTGTTCAGGTGGATAGTTATTGGAAGACAAAGTATATGCTTGATCAGCTTGTAAATAAAGTAATCCCAGTATTTAAAATCTTGTATCTTGGATGTGTTGGCGTATTTTATTTTGATCAATCTACTAACTATAACGCTATAGCTAAAGATATGTTAATTGCAAAAAGAATAAACTTGAGTTCTGAAGAAAGCAAATAGTGATGCAAAATGGTTGATTTATTGATGAAGATAGAAAAAAGTATATGCAACCGATAGTATTTTCGAATGACTATCCAAAGAAAGAGTTGAGAAACAAACAAAAGAGTATAAAGCAAATGCTTAAAGAGCGAAAACTTTGACCTGTAGAAAAGATTTCACTAGTATGTGAAAAATGTTTTGAAAAATATATTAATAATGATTCTGAAAGCTTGAGTTGTTGTATACAAAGAATCATATCATTGCAACCTGATTTTCTTGAGCAACAGTCTTTGTTAGAAAAAGCTGTAATTAATGCAAGACATATTTTTGAATGCTATTCCAAGTTTCATTGTGAGTGTAATTTTATCAAATGATATTGGGGTTTTATGAAATGAGAAGCAAGAAGATTATATAATTATAATTATAAGGATTTAGTAAACCTTGTTCTAGAAATTCTTAAAAATGTTCCTGTTACCACTATTCACAAATTTGTCTATAAATCGTAAGATATATAGATGCATATAATAAAGGGCTAAAAGGTTTAAGTGCTGAGTGGGCTGTTAATCTATATAAGTCACATTGTTGAATCCCTAAAAACATTGAACAAATAATGGAAGGAATTAATAAAGAATCATAATAAGAAATATTAGCTTTTTTGTTGTAAGTATTATGGCTTTATTAATTTATTTTGCTATTGCTATATCTTTATCCAACTAAACACAAGTTATGTGAATTGCCAATAAAAATTTATTCAGGCAAGTAAATTTTACAATTACAGCCAATCCTGTTTAAATTCCAAAATTAATTTATAATACTTTTTATAGCATCCTAAATAGGTCAGTATGAATTATTTGATTGTCAAATTTTTTGGAACTTAAACGGGTATTATAACGAAACTAATGTTTATAACAGATGCCCCTAACTGGAAACTCAACAATTTAACCGGATGAGATCAATAATTTACAATAGATAACGAAAACTGGAAACACTAGCCGGCGAACATATTTTTTGTACATAAGTTTAAATAATTCAATTGTGTGTATGCTTTGCAGAATCGGCCTGACATTTTTGTATGATTTAGAATAGCCGTATAAAAATCCATGGTTCTATGATGATCTGCACTAAATAAACTGCATTTCGTCATTGCTTTTTTGTGCAAATATTGTTAGGTTTGGAATTGGGAGGGGCCTGATATATAGTAAAATTTGGTATGGACTTTTTTTGTTAAGGCGCAAAGGGCAATTTCAAAGCAAACTTTTGAGTTACAGGCGATTTTAAAAAAAAAATTATTTTATGCTTAACCTGATCTGTGATCTAATTTTTAATAATCACAGAATTATAATTTTTTTATGCGTTATAGGGTTAGATTTAAAAAGCTTTAGAGAAGTAGTGTATACGATTAAAGTATGTAATATGATTGGTTACCCTAGATCATGTGATTAAATGCTGCAATTTTATTGGTTAAATGCACGTTTATTATATGTTTCAATTTAATCAAAACATATTAAAATAGTTTAACTTTAAATGCCTATAACTTTTTGTTTAGGCCTTATTTTAAAAAACTAACCGGTAGTTTGATAGAAAACGTTATAACAAACAAAATTACTGGTTTAGTTTTTTTTAAATTTAATTTATATAAAGTGTTAATAGATTTTAATGTATATGTAATTTAGTGGCGAGTTAAGGCTTCCGGCACCATATATAAAAAAAAAATTTTGTTCAGATATCTCGTGGATTGCCTATTAAAGATTAACAACTTTTTATAGTTATTATATCAAAACTATTAATAAAAATATAAGCAAGACCTTATCTTAATATCCCAAAAAATTAAATACTATAGTTGCTATATCTCAAAAATATTAACACATCTCAAAAATGTTAAATAAAAATATTTAAAACTTCCAAAAATCATATTAACTAAAATTTAAATTTTTATATTTAATTATAACTCTAATTTTAAATTTTAGCAATAAATCTATTAATACTATAAATACCATAAATATATTTTATCTTAATTGCAAAATAATCTTAATGCTGAGATACTTTGCTTAGAAAACAAATAGTTATTATTATTACTAACTACAAAAGTACTAAATACAAAAAAACAGTTAAAAAAATGCTTAAAACTTTTATAGTAAATTTTAAATAAAGCTCTTTACAGTTATCATTATGTAGAATCAAGTTGTTAAACAAATATATAAACTTGGCTGGGTATAGAAAGATACGTGCGATATTGCGTTATTATTTAAACTTTTATAATTAATAAAGAATAATAAAATATATTCTTTTCGTATTGATTTGGTTTTGATTATTTTGATTGGTTAATGATCACGTTTTGAATTACATAAATTAACCAATCATATGAATGTCTTCCTATGTACTGTACACCAGACACAATGAGAGACATGCTCTTCGGACCCCACCCTCTATCTTTGATAGGGTCTAGGGCGCCGTTCTAGTGTCGCCCACAACTTGACGTCATAATTATGAAATAAATTAAATGTTTTTTTTTAAATAATTGTACAGTATGCATATAATACGTAATAACATCACTGTATTTATTTTTATTAAGCACTTAGCAGTGGCTGAAATAAAATATATCACTAAACTTTAACGTTAAAATTTGCAAGTTTGGGCAATTGTTATTTTATAATATGCGCTGTACCCTGCTAATTACTTTGTCAACTCATCTTTATAATAAACCGAGTTGGCCATTTCTTATAAGGTTCCTTTATTTTGTACTATGTTCACCATACAGAGTTAACCGTAACGTAATAAAAAGTGAAGATGACAATTTATTGTCATTATTAATTCTGAGCTTTAATTATGAGGACGGCTGGGTCAATAGTCGAAATGACCGTCGATCAGGTAACAGTACAGTACTATCCGAATAAATGAACCAATGACCAACTAGTGACCGATAGAATCTAGTCAAACATGTAATAAAGTCGGAACCAATTAACTAATTAAAAAAGAATATTTCCACATTTGTTTAATTGCATTGTATCTAATGTGGTACAACAGTTCCTAGACCACAGATTTGTTATTTATGGCCTGCACAAAAACTTATCGCTTCAACTTCGTTTTATCCATTGGATCATTAGTTAGATTACAAGCACATTCGTTTATTTAATACTAGAAAAGTAAAATGATCACATTTTCGAAATTGATTAGGCCTCCATTGCCCGATGATTGTATCTACGACATATTACAGCATCTTCGTGGTGATCGGTCTACTTTATATACATGTCTTTTTGTCAATCGTTTCTGGTGTAGTTGTGTGGTTCCAATACTATGGAGTCAACCATTTTCAAGTTTCAGATGTTGGGCATTAATTGTCCGAACCTACATCTATTGCCTCGATCGTCCTGAACTTACAAGTTTGATCCCATTCAACATTTATATTCCTACTACCTATAAACCATTATTCCCTTATGAAAGGTATTTAGAAGCTTTTTCAATTTCTGATATGGAAAATGGTATAATTACTTGGTTACGAATAAATACAGAAACAAGAATTCGGTCTGATGATGAGAGAATACGACCGATCATGAATGCATTTTGGCGAATGTTTCTTAATAGATGTAGAAACCTTGCATCGATCAGTATTAATACAGGATATGGTACTTCTGATCTTCCTGAACTTGATGTATTCTTGAATGCTCGTCCGGGACTTTCAAAGTTAAAGAGTTTAGATTGTTGCATTGGACATAAAAGCGATGAAATATCGAATTATCAGAATACAATGAATTTATTAAGGAATTGGCCCATACAATCTTCAAATCTTTCAAAAATGTGGGTTTCAATATATGAAGATAGAATTACTCCGAATGATTTAATTTCGAGCATTGTTAAAGCTCAACGAAATCTTAAAGAATTCAAGTTTGCTGGGATTGGGTCGTTTACACAAAATGTTATTTCGGCACTAAAATATCATTCACATTCATTGACAACCCTTAAACTTTGGATGCTTGTTTTGGATGGGATCTCATTTGATGGATTGGTTTCGTTAGAAAAATTAGAATCATTGGATATTCAATGGTGTGAAGGTATATCAATTGATCATTGTGGAACCTTGTCTGATGCATCTTTTCATCTCACTAGTCTTAGCATCTGGGATAATCCTTCGTCACCAGATATTACTGCAACATTGATTACTAAAGCTGGAAAGGCCTTAAGGGATTTGAAGACGGATATGATAACAAGGGAAATGATTGAAGTTGCAAATAAATATTGCCCAAATATCACTCATCTATGTATCAAGATAAGAAATGAGAATTATATTTATCTTTTTCCTTGGATTAAAAGCCTAAGATTAGAACATTTGGACTTCTTTTCTCATGAGAATGATGCTAGTGACGGAATTAGGTTATTAGGAGAATACATTCCGCTTACCGTAACCCATCTGAACTTGGACTATGCTACATATACACCTAAATCGTTTAAATATTTTTTAAATGTCTGTGAAGCTAATATAATAACTATGATTATTAGATTTTCGAAAGAGCTAATAGATGGATGCTTCGAAGATATTTTGGAATTTGCTAGAAGGAAAAGAAGCATGAGGACCTTGGCATTTATTTGCACACCTATTTGTTGGATGGAATGGAGTGGAAGAGAACTGGAATTGATTGAGGACATGAAAAAATGCAGTGTCAAAGTTGTTAAATCAATAAGCAGAAATTTTAAAATCATTACCTGTTAGATATAGAATTGATCATTTAGCATAACATTTTTATTTTTTAAATTTAAAATAATAAACATTTAAATAGATCATTATTTAAATATTTCAATTTTTAATCAAATTATTTGATAGATGTACGGTATGTAGGTGGGTTAAAACTATTTAAATACAAAGTTTTAGAATACTGTTTGGACTAAATAATTTTCCAGATATCCGTTAAATGAACGTTCAACATCCGTATACACAATTTTTCGAATGGTATTTATTGAATACGTGTTCAATCCCAACATCCGGATGCAAATTTTAAACCATTATGTCTCATGATCTGGAGGTCACAGCAGCACAAATTACAACTAATTAGATAAAATTCATTTAATAATTAATTTCTTGGTATAAAAATATATAACTTGTTTTTATATTTGTTTATTATTTCTATATACATATATATATATATATATTTTTTTTTTTGATTTGACTACACAATTGTCTACGCCTATATGACTAAGGTGTAACTTGCCTGAAGTTCTCGTATGCAGTCAACTTTAAACCGAACCTGGATAAACCGACCACTTAATAAACTTCATCTAAATCAAACTTTAAAGGTTTAAATTTCCTTATTAAATTAGGCTTAATCATTAAGTGCACTTTTTAAACTGAATTTTTTAAATTGAATTTTTTTCTCATTTTCTTAATGAACCCGAAGGTTACAAGATTACGTATAAAGTTCCAAAAATAAGTGCTTGTGGCAAACTATGTCAATTTTGGTCTGTTTATAACAATATTGGCCGCAAGAAGAGTACTTATTTTTGGAAATTTATCTGAATTATTGGTGATCGAATATTTAAACGGACATTGGATATTATCTGCTTTATACTGTAGCTATTCTCATAAATTAAATTTGCGAATCTTTTGAAACGGAAACTATTGAGGTCCGGAGCCTTAAAATTCAAATTCATTATTTCATTGAAATGCATGGCTATATTGTTCTCTTTAATCACGTGTTGTCATCATTAAAACCGTTGCGTAAAGAATTCCATATCATATTTAACGCTCACCAGCGTGATATTTTGAATACGTGCATATGCGTTATTTTGAAATAGAGACCGTCCAACATTTTAAGTTTGATGATTTTTTCATAAGCATTATTATTATAATATACAGCAATTAGAATTTTTGGTATCACATTATAACATTCTTAAGTTACTAAAATTTTTACCTCTTAACTTATATTATATTGTAATATATATGTTGTACCCCAAATGATAATCCTGTCCCGATTGCCAATTGGGACAGCCCAAATTAAAATTGCCCAAATCTAACCTTAACGTCTGGGCTAATTAATTTATAATTTTGGCCAGATTGTCATCTGGGAAAATTGTCATTTGGGGCACGACATATATACTGTATATTGATATACATTCGGGCGCATTTTTGGAATTGGGCCAAAATTAAAAACCCCGAATTACTATTTAATTATTACATGATATATACGTCGACCATATGACGCATTTATTAAACTGAACCCCAAAAACAATAAAACTAATATAATTATCACGTCAAACCCATCTTTTACTTTTACAATTCATCTCTCTTTTACATTAAAATTCATCTCTTATAATATACTTATAGTCAAAAGATTTGCCTCACGTTAAATATCTATCATAACTACGTCATAATTTAGTGTAAAAAGTCGGCTAAGATTGGCTAATATTACGAATTAAACTATTTTGATATAAACTTTTAAAAATTTTTAGAATGTATTCTTTTGATTTCTTTTTTTTTTTTTTTATAATTAGGTTAGAATTCATGGTTAGAATTGTTAATAAAAGAGTATATATGAATTTTAATAAGTTTAGTAAATTTAAATTGAGATCCCAAATCTCAGCATCGGCCAATCTTAGTATTAACTGTATACTAACTACAGTATGTACTGTATATGAATAAAATTAGCTTTTCCAATAGATTTTAAAATTCAAAATCTAAAATTAAAACTTTAAAATATATATAAATTTGTTTTACTTAAAAACTAAAATTTTTAACAGGTTTTTGAATTAACTCAAAATATATACAGTATATTTAAATCTTTTTGCTTATTTTTTTTTACTTTTTATTTAAAAAAAAAACTTTTAAAATTTTCTAGAAATTCTTTTTTAAATAAGTTAATTGACTGTGCGTTATTTCAGGTACGCCCAATATGCGTTATTTTATTAAAATAATAAAGAATGAACCTGGATGTTTGAACATTGGCAGATTCTTGATTTTGATTGGCTAAGAGTGACAATCAAAAATTTAGGCTGAAGTTACTTAAAAATTTTACTAATGAAATCACAGCTGCCCATTAAGTGACAAATTTCTCTAGGCTAATTTTATTTGAAATGAAAAAAGTTATTACGTCATAAATATAAAATTGGTCCGGGTTCAAAAGCAATTACCCAATTATGTAGAGATGGAAAAAAAAACACGGTTTAAACTGTTTTTTAAACACTTTTTATTGGTTTAAACCTTTTTTTAATCTGATGCTAAAAATTGAAAATACAGTATTACTTCTGATTGGTGCTCGAATTTATTAGCGTTAGGTATTACATATGAAATATATTTAATCGCTTTAATTTTTATCAAAGCTATTGCATTTTTAAATGCATGATGTGCCTATTAGCCAAATACAACCTTTCATTCTGTATTTGAAAGCCTAAGGTTTACAAAAATGGGATTTTTATCTATTCGTCTAGTAATTTTATAAAATAGTAGTGTTGGCAAAGAAGTTTTGCAGTTTGTGTAAGTTGCTGTGGTAATGTAATAGGTATAGTAATTTTATGTTCTGTCATAATCTGGTCGCTAGTGAGTAGGCCAGGTTTATTAGTGGGATTTATCTATATAATGCTATATTATCACTATATAAATCTCATTGAATAAGTTTTTGCGAATGAATTATTTGGAGATTACAATGTATAAATAATTTATCCTTCTCATACTAATTATCATTATTACATCATCATCAAACCAATCATCATCTTTAATATCTTTTCGGATTCGCAAATTTAGATAACAGTTACAAGTTTTTTTACGCACTCAATGTCCAACCGTATGCAATTTTGATTATGAATATATCGATACTTAAATTTAGACCAGCACCGTCCTGCGGCAGCTGAAGAAGCTGGAAATGAAGAGAATGAAGAGAACTTGGCAAGCAAGTTCAACCACGAAAAAAAATTTTATTTAAACAATTTGATTGCCACTAACTAATTGGATTCGAATATTTGTGAATTACTTCATAGTCTAGTATAAGGGTGCTCTCAAGCATCTCCCTGAGTGTGATTGCAACCCGAAAATGTGTACCAGGTTGCGCTCTGGATGATCATGTGACAGTCCGGAATGAATATCCGAAAAATTT